TCAAGGGCCTGCATCTTCGCTTCCCACAGCAGGAGATTTTGAGACCCTGACAATTAGGGGAAGAACAGGCAGGCCGTGGCTACACTTGCAGATGTACGGTGCTGTGAGTTAAACCTGCCTTCCTACAGCCGAGCAGGGGAAGCGCTGCAGCCTGTCCACACTGGCAGCTGCCAGCCATCCCAGCATTCACGTGGCTGCAACGTGCTTTTCCAACGGGGGGTGGGGGTGGAGTGTGACAGGGAGCGTAGGGGGAGAGAGAGTGGGTTTTGGGGGGCTGACAGCGTGCTGTCTTGTAAGTACAGACCTCCCTCCCTCCCTGCCCCGCCTGTCTCTCACTCACTGAAAGCAAACGGCCGTTCTTTCTTTTTTTCTCATAGACGAGATAAGCAGTCGCTCGCTGAAATGGACCCCAACCCCGCCTCACCGCCGCCTCGCTCTGCAAGCAAACAGGAGCGGCCGGCGCTCCAAACGGAGCCCCCCGCCTGCCTCTCACTCATTCAGAGCCAACAGGAGCTGTGTGTGTTTGTTTGATAAGCAACCCCGAAACGGAGCTTTGAAATGGCACGGCCACGTCCGGAGTTCACAACCAAACAAGAGAGGACGCGTCAGTTAAAAGGATTATGGAGAGTTTCCGGAGGTCAATCAGTGCCTAATAACCTTACTCCCCGTTTACACTGGAGCTGGAGTGTCTCAGCCGATGTGCAACAGCTGTTAATCCTCTCGGGGAGGTGGAGTACCAGGAGCGCTCCAGCCAGGGAGTCAGAGCGCTCTGCGTGCCTTGCCAGCGTGGACGGGGAGTAAGGTAGAGCGCTCTGCGAGGCTTTATTGCGGTGTAACATGCAAATGTAGCCAAAGCCGTAGATAAAAACCCAAAGAAAGTATCAAGAGTTCTCCTTCCTGGCTGAGCTGGGTGCGCTGTCCAGGTCACCGATGGTCATTCTGGGGAGGGATGTGGGGCTGATTCAGTTTGGGGGGGTTGTTCTGGGGAAGGATGTGGGTCTCAGATATCTGGAGGATTGGCCCAGAGCCCAGTCTTTTGGGGGCACAGCTGGTGGTCCTGATGCTAGTCTGTCTGCCTCTCTTCTGGCAGAGAAGGCCAAGCCAGGCGAGTACGAATAATGATGCTGTAAATAAAATGGAATAAAGTTGTGGATGTTTTTATTTTTAAAATATTTTTCACACTTTTCAATCTGCCCCAATTTCATCAGGCCCTGGTAGTTCCTATAAGAAATGTGAAGGATGAGATACTTGTAACTGTTCCCTCTTTGTGGGAGCAACAGCTGGCTGGGGTTTTGGCGGCTCAGGCTTTTGTTCCCTGGTTTTACCCACTGTGGTTTCTTTTGCATGTTTTCTTTCATAACGTATCGGATGTACCTGTGTGTAACTTTTTGCCCTAGGGCTGCCATTGCTGGGAGCCCCCTCCATTTAAACTTGTAAATATTGTAAATAAAACCGGTACAGCTGTGTGCTGTGTCAAACACAACTCCTGTGTCAATCTCCTGGCCCAAGGGGGCCCACAAATGTGTTGGGAACCAGGCCCACAAAAGGTTAATCTGGCCCTGTGTGGGGGAGACTGTGTGTGTCAGCACACTGTCTCTTTAAGCCAAGCACTCCTGAGCCTGAAGACTTGCAGCTCCCACTCCTGAGTCAAAGGCCTCAGCGCAGACAGGCTCCTGCCCCGTGCTCCCCAGCTCAGCGGAGACCCACCTGGGCACGGCCACCTCTCGTAGCGGGAGGAATCCCCCAGTGCCCGGCCAGCCGTGCATCAGCTTCCCAGCGAAAGGGAGACTTACGTGTAAACACGGGGCTTGCAGCCTCTGCAGTGCCGGCTGCCCTGGAGCCTGGCCCAGGCTAGCATCAGCAGGGGAGCTGACTGTGCAGATCTCTGGAGCCGCAGGCACTGACTTATTTTTCCTGGGGATGCCACCTCCGCCACTTCCCCCAGGTCCCACCCTGGCTCCTTCCCCTCCCCATAGGTCCCTGCCTGCCCGCCCACCACTCCCCCCTCCCCCAAGCCCCTTCCCCAGCTGCCAGACAGCTCAAACAGCTGATCAGCAGGGGCCAGCCCAAGAGCTGTGGCTGGTGGGTGCCGAGCACCCGCTATGTTTTCCTGTGGGGGCTCTGGGTCTGGAGCACCCTCTGCGTCGGCACCTGGGGCTACAAATCGGTCAGGCCCCACCTGAGTGCAAAGGGACTGAATGGAAGAAGGAGGCAATTTCCTCCAGTCTAGGCAGGTGTCTAAAGCCTCCTCTCGGCAGATCAGGTGTGTGTGTGGGGGGGAGCTTGTGTGGGACACTGTCCCAGCCACGTGCCAGTCCGCTTCCCCTAGCTGCTGCTGTTTGTGGCAAGAGTGTGCAGAAGGGGAAGTGAGAGCCCATGAACCTGGGGAAGGAGAAGTGAGTGTTTCTGCTGTGGGGAGCCTGGCCCGCAGCCACCGCTCTCTGCTCTGCCTTCAGAAAGGGGCAGCCAGAGAGCAGTGGCTCTCAGCCGGGTGCCCAGATCTGAAGGCAGTGCTACCCCCCCCCCCCCCCCCCCCCCCCCCCCCCCCCCCCCCCCGCAGTGCTACCAGCAGTTGGGAGGGATGGCTACGGGGGAGGGGCTAAGGCAAATTTTGGGATTGCTGTGGACCCTGCAAGTTCCCCCTAGAGCCGCCCCTACCCCTGCCCCACAGGGCCCCTCTGCTCCTCCTGCAGCTGCAGGTCTCCTTCGTCCCTCTCATCCCTGATGCTGCTGAGAAGGGTGCAGAGGAGCTTCCAGGGGCTATACAGGTGATGAGCCACGGTGCTGGATAGATGGGAGTCCTCCAGGACCAGAGAGACTGGGCTAACTGCAGCGAGAGAAGCCTGTATTTTTCATGCTCACCGGACTCCCTGTTGTCTCAGCGACACAATCCGAGCCTGGGCGATCAGAGTCATCCTGGACTAGAGAGGACTGTGACCAAAAAACTGCAAAATTCCTGAAGCAAGGAGATGGGCTTCTCCGCCTTGATCGCTCCCTTGCTTTAACAGAAGAACGGCCAGACGGGGTCAGGCCAAAGGTCCATCTAGCCCAGTGTCCGACAGGGGCCAGTGCCAAGTGCCCCGGCTTTCGATGGTTTTGCAGACCCAACAGAGTAAGGAGCACAAGTCCCATTGACTGGGAGCAAGACCTGTGCACCGAACTCTGTTTGCAGTTTTGAAAATACAACCCTAAGTATTTAACCACAGACCAAACAATGGATAATTTGGCGTGAGGACTGTGGCTATGCTTCTGATTTGCTTATGTTTATTTTATATAGGTGAAGGAAGAAGTGAGAAAGCCAGAACATTCCAATTGACTTGGGTGTCCAAATAGGGTGACCAGATGTCCCGATTTTATAGGGACAGTCCAGATATTCGGGGCTTTTTCTTATATAGGCGCCAGTTACCCCTCACCCCATCCCGATTTTTCACACTTTCTATCTGGTCACCTTGTGTCCAAATATCTTAGGACAGGAGGCTTTGCAAATTTCAGTTTGCCACATAGACCAGAGAAGAGTGACAAACCGTCGGTGGATCACCATTAGAACATGATAGCCCCTTGTGAATTATGAAAGGAGATGAAAGTGCTTGGCAGGACTAGCTAATCTATGGAAGAGCTCATGGGATGTTCCTATGATTAAGGCTGCTTGAAAATTTTGTTGGTTTTGATGAAAAACTGCGGTTTTGATTTAAAAAAGTTTTCACAAAAAACGTCTGCCATCCGTTAATGGTTTTGATATTTTTCATGCAAAAAACCCAATAAAAATAAAAGCTCCAAAGCTGAACTATTTCACCAAGAAACCAAACAGATCGATTTGGGCATGCCACTACTATGTCCCATGGGAGATGTCGTGGGGTTGCTTGATGTCCCCTTTTTATTGTGCAGGCTAGGTTCCCCAGGTGGACTTCATCTCCCATGATGCATCATGGTTATTGGACTCCCCTAATTCAATGACTCATGCAAAGGAGAGACCGTGGTGCATTGTGGGAGAGTCCTATCAGGGAGCCCAGTCCATGGTGGATGGATGCAGGAGGAACGCAAATTACAACTCCCATGCAGTGACATTTCCAAATTGAAATACTTTGGGGTTTGGACAAAATAGTTCGGTATTCAGTTTTTCATTGAAAAGTTGAAACTTTCAGGGGGGGAAGGGAAGGAGTGGGTACAGGTTCTTGAAGGAATGTAGAGTGAGCTGTGTAGTTACTGGCTGTCTCACTGAAGGAAGTGCAAAGGAGTGAGTGATATGGGTGAGAAAGTTCCATCACAGGCCTTTTGATGTTGCTGTCTATGTGGTTAGTGTGCTGGATATGATGTCTGGTAACATAGAATCATAGAATAGCAGGGTTGGAAGGGACCTCAGGAGGTCATCTAGTCCAACCCCCTGCTCAAAGCAGGACCAATCCCCAATTAAATCATCCCAGCCAGGGCTTTGTCAAGCCTGACCTTAAAAACTTCTAAGGAAGGAGATTCCACCACCTCCCTAGGGAACGCATTCCAGTGTTTCACCACCCTCCTAATGAAAAAGTTTTTCCTAATATCCAACCTAATCCTCCCCCACTGCAACTTGAGACCATTACTCCTTGTCCTGTCCTCTTCTACCACTGAGAATATTCTAGAGCCATCCTCTTTGGAACCCCCTTTCAGGTAGTTGAAAGCAGCTATCAAATCCCCCCTCATTCTTCTCTTCTGCAGGCTAAACAATCCCACCTCCCTCAGCCTCTCCTCATAACTCATGTGTTCCAGACCCCGAATCATTTTTGTTGCCCTTCGCTGGACTCTCTCCAATTTATCCACATCCTTCTTGTAGTGTGGGGCCCAAAACTGGACACAGTACTCCAGATGAGGCCTCACCAATGTCGAATAGAGGGGAACGATCACGTCCCTCAATCTGCTCGCTATGCCCCTACTTATACATCCCAAAATGCCATTGGCCTTCTTGGCAACAAGGGCACACTGCTGACTCATATCCAGCTTCTCGTCCACTGTCACCCCTAGGTCCTTTTCCGCAGAACTGCTGCCGAGCCATTCGGTCCCTAGTCTGTAGCTGTGCATTGGGTTCTTCCGTCCTAAGTGCAGGACTCTGCACTTGTCCTTGTTGAACCTCATCAGATTTCTTTTGGCCCAGTCCTCCAATTTATCTAGGTCCCTCTGTATCCTATCCCTGCCCTCCAGCGTATCTACCACTCCTCCCAGTTTAGTATCATCCGCAAATTTGCTGAGAGTGCAATCCACACCATCCTCCAGATCATTTATGAAGATGTAGAAGGAGTTGGTGCTTTTCATTAGAGCTTTGCAGGAACCAGAAATTCCCTTTGGGGGAAATTCCATTTTTATTTTTTGTTTTGAATCCAAAAGAAAAAAAGAAGAAGAAAAGAGAAACTTCCTGCAAAACCAAACAAAGGTTAATAATTTGGGATCAATTTAAATATTTCTTTTCGATACATTGTAATGTTATATTCTGATTTTGACTATTTCATTTTATAATTGATAATGCAATATACAACAAGCATTTTTATTAAACAAAGTTGCTTCAAACTGAAAAACAAAAAGGGAACAATTTAACTTCATTGAAATGCTTCACAAAAAAAGAAAATCAAAGTTGGCACATTCCCATGCAAAGTTTTGATTTAATCAAAATAACATTTTCCAACAGAAAAATTGTTCCATTAGAATTTTTTTTTTTTGACCAGCTCTAATTTGTATATGTGAGTGAGTAAAGGACAAGGGAAATCGCAGGGCAATGGGGTATCTACGCTATGGATTTCTGGGTTAACAAAGGGAGGAGTTAGTCTCAGTTTGGACTCATCACACTTAGTTCAAAGCTACTCTGCAATCTGCAAAAACCAAAGAATACGAGACTGTGCCCAGAAAGGAAATGCCCAATGACTAAGCCAAGTTCAGTCAGCCCATTTCTAAGAACACGGGAAGTGAAACTCAACTCCCCTCATGTCTCTTTCCTGCACTAGAAGTCATGGCTGCTGCAAATCCAGCAAAAACTCTCCAGGATGAACTGACCTGTCCCATCTGTCTGGAGTATTTTCAAGATCCAGTATCTCTAGACTGTGATCACAATTTCTGCAGAGCCTGCATCACCCAGTGCTGGGAGAGCTTGGATACAGATGTCTCCTGCCCTCAGTGCAGAGAGGCCTTTCCCCAGAGGAACCTCAGACTTAACAAGAAGCTCAGGAATGTTGCAGAAGCAGTCAGAGAATTGAGGTTGCAGTCAGTGAAGGAACCAGGAGCAGAGACATTGTGTGAGAAACACAAGGAGCCTCTGAAACTGTTCTGCAAAAAGGATAAAATCCTCATCTGTGTCGTGTGTGACAAATCCAAGGAGCACAGAGATCACTCTGTGATTCCTGCAGAGGAGGTTGCTGCTGAAGAATTCAAGGTAGGAATTTACTGACTAACCACCATTTTTATAGCTAGAGCCTTGGGAAACTCACCTGCTCTGCCCCTCCCACCACATCCCAGAGACACAAACTCCCTTTCATTGCTTCTCCCCTCTTGGGGCCAAGGAAGCAGTAGGATGCTGCTGAGGCTGTCCTCTGGGCACACATCCCCTTCACGCTTTCCCTGCAGAACTGCTCACGCAGGCAGGAAGGGAGCCCCACCCTCATGAGACTTAGCAGAGGCACTGAAGTGGTGCTCCCATCCTACAGACCCTAGCAAGTCTGTTTGATAAAATCAGGGGTGGGATTGCAGGAAGCAGGGACTGGGTGGGAGGGAGCAGCACAGCAATAGGGCACTGTAGCAGGGTCACCGCCTCCAGCGTGCCCCCTCATGGCCCAGGGTGGCTCTGCAGAGGCCCTGCCTCAGTTTCCCTCTGAGGTTCCCAGAAATAATCCACAAAGGGTTGTGGTCAATAACACCCCTGCTCTCCCAGCAGGGACTCCCAGGACTTTTTGTCTGGAGTTTGGCCTTATCACCCTGAAGAAGATCCAAGGCCTCCTCTGCCTTTTACACAGACCTCCTCCCTCTGGCCCTCCATAGGCCTCTGTTTTGGCTACCCCAGGCCTGATTGGAGCACATAACCCACCTGTGATGGGTTCAGTCACAGAGACCCCCTCGTGACGGTCACTCGATGTGCTGGGGATACCACTGAGAACAACCCCCCTGCCAGAAAAGGTACCCCTTCTCTCCTGTCTTGCTGAGTTAAGACACTCCAGTCAGCTCCAGCACAGACCAAGGGGTTGGGCCACCCCCCCCTGCAGTTTACTGAGAGGGAGATTCCCTCAGCCCAGGGGCTTCTCAGTTAACAGGGACTTTCCCAGCACACAATATTCAGTCTTTCTGGGAGACTAAACCCAAAATAAATCTGTTTTACTCTGTATAATGCTTATACAGGGTAAAATCATAAATTGTTCAACCCCTATAACACTGATAGAGAGAGATGCACAGCTGTTTGCTCCCCCCAGGTATTAATCACTTACTCTGGGTTTATTAATAAACAAGAGTGATTTTATTAAGTATAAAAAGTAGGATTTAAATGGTTTCAAGTAATAACAGACAGAGCAAGGAAGGTCACAAAAGTAAAATAAAACAAATTCACAAGTCTAAGCCTAATACATTAAGAAACTGATTACAGGTAATATCTCACCCTCAAAGATGTTCCAATAAGCATACTTCACAGACCGGATTCTTTCCTAGCCTGGGCCCAATCCTTTTCAGACCAAAGCTGTAGTTTATGGCCTGGGTCCAGCAACCTTGAGCCAGCTGAAGACAAAAGGGAGGGGCTGCAGGGCCTTTTATATTCTCTTTCTTGTGGGCGGAAACTCCTTTGTTCCTTTGCAAAATCACAGCAACAGTATGGAGTTTGTAGCCACATGGGCAAGTCACATGTCCATGAAAGAGTCAGCTTTTTGCAGGCTGACACCATTGTTTACATGTTAATTTGAATGTTCCCAGGAAAGCTCAGGTGTGGACTGGCGTCTCCCAACGCCCATTGTTAGTTAAATGTTTGCTGATGGGCCACTCATATCTTATTTCCCTAAATTCAGACATAGAAAAGATACATGCAAACAAATAGGATGAATCTATTCAGTAGATCATAACCTTTGCAAAGATATGTTACATGGCATATTTAGCATAAAGCAAATTCCAGTTATGTCATATTTATAGTCATCAGCATATTTTCATAAAAATATGGAGTGCAATGTCACACCACCCACTCCTGGTCACTGGTCCTTCTTCATTGTCCCCACCTGCGTAGGAGAGCTGTCTATGTCACAGGTAGTGCTGAGACCCATCTCCCTTTCAAGGGCCAGCCACCCTGTGACCAGCATTGTCAACTGTCCACATCTCCTAGGGCCACAGGGAGAGAGTCCCCGTCCTGTGGATATCAGTTTGGGAATTTTGGCCATAGATTTCGGTGTGCAAGCCTTGTGCCCATACAATTTTCTGTGTTGACATTCATAACAATATTTAATAGAATGCACTGGTTTCCCGTTGCAGTAGCATCTACGAGTCCCAGTGAGGGATTAGGGGCTTCTTGTGCCAGGCACTGTACAGACAAGTTAACCAAAGGGAGCTCACAGTCTAAAACCAGGACCATGTGCAGCAGGTGGATAAAGAAACAGCCTGGAGTGGGAGTGGGGAACTCGTAGGGATGGCTGAGTATATAAGTGATCTCGATAGTCCGTTTGCTGCCCGTTTCCTCGGTGCAGCGTGTAAGTGCCCATACTTTTCAATCTAGACTGTTTTAGGTGCTGGAATGGCAGCAGGCAGGAGGAGGAGTCCATGGCCAGTCTCCCCTCTCTGCTGGGGGCTTGGCAGGGAGGTCAGAATTGGGCTGAGGGCGCTGATATCCCCTTGGCACTGGATCCCAAATGGTGGGTTGTGAAACTGCCAGAGGGTCATGGGAAGATGGTAGATGAGTGGTGGGCTTAGTGCACAGGTGAGACCCTGGGGGGAGAGGGATTGCAGAGCTGAGCCCACCCTACACTCAACCGCAGTGGTGACTCCTGTCCCACGGGGCTGGGTCCAGCTCTCCACAGAGGGAGTTATGGCCAGAAAGAACCCCGTGGGCAGACTCCAGCATGAAGCTTCTTGTCCCGTCTGTCTGGAGTATTTCAGAGAACCTGTCACTCTGGAGCGGGGGCACAATTTCTGCTGAGCCTGCATCATCCAGTGCTGAGAGAAATCAGGTATAGCCATCACCTACCCTCAGTGTAGACAAACTGTGAGCAGAGAAATCCCAGGCCGAAGAGGCAGCTGGCAGCTGTCATAGAAATAACCAAACAACTGAGTTTACAGGTAATAAAGGATGCAGGAGGGGAGAGGGTGTGTGGGGAACACCAGGAGCCTCTCAAGCTGTTCTGCGAAGAGGATCAAACTCCCATTTGCCTAGCGTGTGACAGATCCCGGGCTCACCGAGATCACACAGTCGTTCCCATAGAGGAGGCTGCAGAGGAGTACAAGGTAAGAAATTGCTGTCAAGTTTAATGAGTTATAGCTTTGGGTTTAATTACCAGTTAATTTAATCACATGTTGACAGTCACAGGTATAATGGCATCATTCTGCTTTGTAAAGCCTTCATTGTACGAGAGATGCTGTAAAGGGTAAACGATGGGGCAGTGTGGCAAGCCGGGCAAGAGATGAAGACTTTACATACAGATGTTTGATGTGGGATCTTTCATCTGAAATCCCGAATCCTTTTCGAAACTGCCTCCCACTGGTGAAATAAGGCAATTTTCTGCAGAACTGAAGCTGCTAAATGAGGAGTGAGGTTTAAATCACGAGAGCTGCAGGCCAGTCTGTGTGAGAGTGCTGCCCTCAGGCTGGAGAAGGGGGAGTTACAAGCTGTGGTTATTGCTATTTGTATCATAGTATTTATTATTATTTACTTACATACAGACCTCAGACAAGATCCGACCTCTACTGTGCTGGGCCCTGCACAAAACCCAGTGAGGGACAATCCCTGGCCTGCTTATAGTCTAAGTAGATAAGACAGACAGAGGGTGGGAGGGGAATCTGAGGCACAACAAGGGGATGGGACTTGTCCAAGGTTACCGAGCAGCTCAGTGGCAGAGCTGGGAATAGACCCCAGGTCTCCCAGCGCCCAGTCCAGTACCCTAATCTCTAGGTCATGCTGCCTCCACAGCAGTGATGAAGTGTGGCCATTAGGAGGGAACAACACCTTGATAAAGGTCCTAGGCCCAGCAAGGAGATGAAGTTTCTCCTTGGGATTCTGAATTCCCACGTTGCTGGTCTGCACTAGAGGAGCTCGCTGGGCTGAACACGGGGTGGCCCCTGAGCACCTTGAGCTCCTGCACAAGAGGGCTCCAGGCAGTGCCGGTCCCTGTCAGATCTCTTTGGGATTGAACCTGATTGCAGCAAAGCTAACCCCTGGGTGGGGCTGCCCCGCATCAGTCTGAGGGACCAACCACAGTGGCTCCATTAGTCCTCACGCTGCTCTCCCCCGGTGAGAGCCAGAACCCGCTGCTGCTGGCAGCTTTGCTGGGAGCTGTGGAATAGCTGCCCAGGCGGCATTGCCACGGGAAGGGCTCAGGACAGCGCTCGGGCCAAGCCCAACCGTTCTCAACAAAAGCCAGAACGTCTAATGGGGTTTGCCCTAGTGCTATGACCAGTCCCGTCCAGCCAGTCCCATCCACGAGGCTTGAGAGCTTACAGTCAGTGGGAGTTGGGCTCCGCTGAGAATCCCAGCCCAGATTTCTCATCCGGCAGGGTTCTGGGATTGGTGTCACTTTGTCAGTTAAACCTTCTCCAAAACAGGTTGTTTCACACCATGAAAGAAAATCCAAGGGTGTGACCCCAGTTTCATGTTGGTGTAAATCAGGGGAGACACGAGGTCAAATATAAAACATTCCCAGGCTCCATGAATATTAATATGACTTAAAGTCCTTGGTCTCGCTGATGTCATAACCCTGCTCGGTTGTCCTGTCATCAATACAGTCAGTTGTTTGTTTATTTGTTTGTTTTTGATAAGGGTTGAAAAGGTTCGCCCCCCACCCCCCCACTCTGATCTATCAAAATAAAGATCAAACCACCCAAAACATTTCCATTTGTTCAGGAAAAGATCCAGGCCCATTTGCAGACTCTGAGGGAGGAGAGAGAAAAGTTTCTGGGATTTAAAGTGACTGGAGAGAAGAGGAGCCAGGAGTATCTGGTAGGTGCCCGTCATTTTTCACCTGCATTTGTAATGAGCTGGATGGAGGCCGTTCAGTCCTGGGTAAAGCAGAATTCAGTTAAGTGGGGAATAATCACAAGTAAATCAAAATGAGTTGTTTTAGCAGGAACTACTACTTAGGCTTACACCTTAAACTATTGTTCTTATCTACTGTGTATTAACGACTGTTAGTTTAATTAAACTCACTTTGTAGGGAACAATTTACATTGATGAACTAACAGAATTTTGAATTAGAAAATCCAATGCACTAAGAACATAAGCCCCAGGGACACGTGTTCACTTCTCAGTTTTCAGCCTCTCTAAGCCCAGAGTTTGGAGGAAAAGTTCTTTGTTTACTGTTTTGTGTTGCAGCCTAAATAAAAACAGGTATTCCTTGGTGCAGTGTGTCGATTTCTTAATTGAACAATTATCCCTCTGCTCCTCTCTGGTTTACAGTCCCTTTGTGCTCATTTCCCTATTCCTGTCATTCACCTTGTACACCTTAGGCCACGGTAAGGATTTCTTGTTTTACAGTCCTAGCTATTTTCTTATTTTCACGACAGCTCACTTCCTCCTTATTTCTTAAGTCTGTTTCTCTTTAATTACACTTTATCCCTTATTGCACCATATTTCCTTCATATTTCCTTCTTACGTTACTTTTCTCATAGTTTTTCGAACAATGCTTTTTGAATAATTTCTTATATTGCAAAGGCCTTGTCCACACTACATAGCTTTCAGTGACATGGCCACGTCAACACAGCTGTGTCACTAAAAGTCGGGCAGCGTAGCCGCTGTTTGTTGGCTCTTTTGCCGACAAAATACTCCCACCCCCAATGAGCGGCGTTCGTGTTTTTGACAGGAGAGCGCTCCTGCCGACAACGTGCTGTTCACACTGGCACTTGCTGCAACAAAACGTTTGTCTTTCGGGGGGAGAGGGTTTAGCACCTCTGAAAGACAAAAGATTTAGTCATTCAATTGCCAGTGTAGACATAGCCTTAGAAACTCCAGCTATTTTCCCTCTTGTTTAACTGTACTGTTCTTCCTTTTACTTTCCCTCTTTTCCCCGCCTGCCATTGTCTTTCCTCTTACTGTCCCTTTGGTGGCTCCCCTACTGTTCCTATTACCCTCGTCTTTCCTGTTCCTCCTGAACTGGGCTTCAGCTCTGTTCCTGGCACCCCTGCGACGATGCATCTCAGCCACTGTGGTCCCTATCCACGGACTCCCCACTTACTGCGTCCCTTCTTTTCTGGTGCCAGTCGCTGCCTGGCTCACTGCTGGCCTCTCTCTCTCTCCCAGCACTGGGAAGCCTCCCTCCAGACTCCACCAGCTGTTTCTGCTGCTCACAGCAGCACTCCAGGGGGAGTGGCCGCCTCCCCCCACCCCCGCTGTTTTTTTCCCTTTTATTTCCCCCCAAAAAACATAGGTGCTGGAACTAGGGGTTCTGGGGGTGCTGCCCCTGGGCTTGAAGGAGTGGTAACAACACAAATACATGGCTTCCGCCTTCAGCACCCCCCTATAAAGAGCATTTCAGCACCACTGCCCAAAAACTGTCCCCAGGCTTGAGCTCACCCCACCTCAGTGGTCCTGGAATACTTGGCGTTCTCGAGACTTCTCCCGGAGCAGCTGGTTTGGGCTCCCCTTAAAAAAAAAAAAATTCTAAATCCCATGAGGCTGCCTCTGAGCCACAACCTGGCAGTGCTGCGTCCATTGCCCAGCAGCCTCCGGTACTGGTGGGGCATTTACACACTGACGTGAGGCGTGAGGTGTGTCTGTAGGTAGAGTCCTTTGTGGCCTTGGGGAAAGTGAGCGTTTGTCAGTTGATCCCTGATCCTGGGACACTGTGTGGATGTGTGTACGTGTAGATGCACACACACATCCCTAAGGGGGGGGCTTGTAAAACCCTCTCCCTAGAGAAGGGTAACATCTTCCTCTTCACAGTCTATCATTTCATTTCAATCAATGAATCAATTTCCAGCTTTTGTGGCTTCAATGAAAATCTTCCCAAGGTGAACTGAACGTATCCAGTGCAGCGCTCGGTGCCTGAGTCTGTATGTTTTTATTGAATTGTTTCTTTCTTTTCTTCTCTGTCAAGGTAATTCTGTGGAGATCTGGGAACCTAACAGAACTTTCCATTGTCTGGATTTTTTTAAACGGGGGGCGGGGAATTGGGTAGAACCAAAAATGAACCTTTAAAAAATTTTGAGCAGATAAAAAAAATAATATTTTTTCTTGGACAAATGACATCTTTCACTTTGATAAACTCAAAATGTTTTGTTTCGATCTGGACCATTTTTTAAAATGATATAATTATATTAAATATAAGGAAATTTTCAAATAAATTTATTTCAAATAAAAAAAATCAAGCTATTTTCTTAAGAAATAGTTGAAATAAATGTCTTGATTTTTTCAAGATTTTTATTTATTTTTTACCAAACAGCAAATTTACATGAACTCATAAAACATTTCAGAGGTGACAAAACTGTATTTTCCCTGAAGAAAAGTTTAGTGCAAAAAAATTTCGCCTAGATCTAGTGCTGAGTCCTGAATCCCGCTGCCTTGGGGTCTCTATCTCTGAGGTCCCTGATAACACACTATCCTGACCAGGTCGCACATGGAAATATCTCCGTAAGAGAGATAGAGGCCAAATGGGAAGGTGTGAGAAAATCCTCTCCCTCGTGGGATACAGGGCATAGTCTCCCACAAGGTATAGTCAAGTGTTTGATGTCTTAGAGTTTGAAAAGAAAGTCTCCCTCCTGCACACTCAGCACTCCATGCAAGGACCCCAGGCTCCGTCCATGTCCCTGACCAGCCCTTTCCCTACTGCTTTACAGAAACAGACCCAGGCCGAGAGGCAGAAGATTGCATGTCAATTTCAGCAACTGCGGCAGTTCCTGGAGGAACAAGAGCGACTCCTGCTGGCCCAGCTGGACCAGTTGGACAAGGAGATTGTGAACATACAGAATGAATATTTCACTAAACTTTCTAAGAAGATTTCCCATCTCAGTGAGCTGATCAGTGAGTTGGAGGAGAAGGGTCAGGAGTCAGCGAGTGAATTCCTGCAGGTGAGACCAAGTCAGAGAAACATCCCAGATCCCAAACAAAAGGACAGCTCCTGAATCCTGGACACTGGGGTCAAGCGGTCAGAGAGGACAGCATAACTCAGTGTGTGCATTGAACAAATGTGAGTTACAATTGTTCTTTCAAGAGATAGAGACACTTTTATATTAGAAATGGAAAAGCCTCATTAGCTCAGTGTATCCATGACCCTTGTCCTTTTTACCCTATATCTGCAAAATCCCTTCCCTGAGATCCCAAGTGTGTGACTCAGGTAGGACTGAGATTCTCTCTCTCTCTCTCTCTCTCTGTCTTTTCTAGGACATTGGAAGCACCTTGAGCAGGTACGTGGCTCTTTCTCACTCCCACACATACTTCTTATGCTGGAAAAAAGCTTGGAAACCATGTTAACACCACATCTCCCCAGGGTCACACAGCAAAATGGGTGGGGCAGGGTCACATTTTGGATACCAATCTCCAATTAACTTAAACCTGAGAGTCTCACCTTTTTATAGACGAGTCTGGGATTATCTATTGAATTGGATGCTACATCCCTGGGGGACTTGCTGGCTCAGGATTCTGGGGACGGAATAGGAGTGCTGAGGTACTGGTTACCATAGGCACCCATGGGAAAAAATTAGCAGGTTCTCTGCACCCACTGACAACCAAGGTCCCCATGCCCCCCCTGAGTGTGCCACGTTCATGATCCTCCCCCTCCCTCTCAGCACTTCCCTGCCACCGGCCCGCTACCAAACAGCTGTTTGGCGGCACTTAGGATGCTCCAGGAGGGAGGGGGAGGAGCAGGGACACGGTATGCTTGAGGGACGAGGCGGAGAAGAGGTGGGGCGGGGCGGGGACTTGGGGGAAGGGGGTGGAATGGGGGCGGGGTGGGAAAAGGCAGGGCAGGGACATGGCCAGGGTGGGGTGGGGGTCCAGCACCACCAGGCAGAGGGGAAGTCAGCACCTATGCTGGTTACAATTTAACCCAGGTCTGCTGCGATAAAGAGAGATCCCACCTGGGGACTGTTTGGAGACCAGTGTGGAATGAGCTGGGTAGGGGGGAGTTGGTGTATCAGTCTAGTTCCTAATGGACAGATTTCTACAGCACTTAGCACTGGAATCTCCTATCCATCAGAAGCATAGAGGCCAGGGAGTGAATTGGCCATGGAGACTCAATTCCCCTTTTAACAAGAAATTATAACGTATCACTAAATGAAATATAAGAATGTGAATTTTTTTCTTTCCAGGTGTGAGAAGGGGAAGCTCCAGAAGTCAGTGGAGATTTCTCCTGAACTGGAAAAGGGGCTCAGCAATTTCTCCCAGAAATATATTGCTCTTAGGGAGACTCTGAGGATGTTCAAAGGTACTAAGACAGGACGTAGGAAGGGAAAGTGGAATATGCCTCTGAGACTGGGAGGAGATGGGCTCTGGCCAATTAGATGACATATCTATTTAATAAAACGTGGAAAGTAGAGAAATTGAGCAGATGTAGCAGGGGCCCAGGCATCAGGATGTTTCAAATTAATTCATGATTTACCAAAGGTCACAACATTAAGGTCCAAATTTAGCCAAATGGCCTAAATTGTGCCCCCTGAGTTTATCTCTCCCAGTTACAGAGCTGGCAAAGCCTGTTGGGCCCAATGAATTAGGGGTGATTCTCTAGCTGGATCTCAGGACTTCCCTAGCCTGTGCCTGCACTGCCCTCTGAAGCCACTAAATAGGGGAGTCACAGATTGGCCTTCTCTATCCCTTTGCCAGTTCAGGATGAATTTGGCCCATTGAGTTGACCCTCTTCCATCTCAGATTTCCCCACTTATAAAATAATTTTATCATTATTCATATTTCAGTCTATGGAGGGGAAAGGGCCCCATTGCGCTGAGCTCTGCAGAGTGCTGAGTAAATAGACCCAAAAAGTTTACAATTCAGAGCCCTGACTGCAAATTCTTAACATCCCATGAATGTCAAAGAGACCAAAGTGTGCAAAGCTACTTTCGCCCTAAACTTTTTGCAGGATCTGGGTCTAAGTTATGGCACAATGCAACTGGTGAATGAGACAAACCAGCTGGGGTTGGGGGGTGGATGATGAGGGGAAAGGATATCTCTCCTAGAGATTGCATCTCACAGGTGGTTGTGTGGCTTAATGACAGTTGATTCCATTACTGTGAGACGTCTGAATAAAAGAGGAAAAAGGAGGTTTCAGACTAGTTTATATTGATATTAAAGCCCTAAGTGTGTGTCTGTGCCTCGGTTTGTTTTTTGGTTGTAATTAAAACACAGTTATATTGGTTTAGAATAAGAATGTGGTTACACATACGACAGCATGAAAGCTCATCTTTCTTATCCTTTGCCCCTCCAGCCACTCTGCCATCTGAACTGGAGACAAAAAGAGAGAAATCCCTAGGGTCACGCAGATTGGGTGAGATTTCAGCTGGAGACTATCTTTAAATTATGAGAAAATTCCCACAAAATATGTTGATAAAATCAACCAAACTGACAGCGGTCATGCCATACACAGCCCTAAAAATAAAAGCATGTAATGCTAAGGAGATCCCAAGCTGAAGTCAGACAAACAATCCTGAAGCCAATTGCCAACCTTAGTGCTGAGTTCGTGCCCATGCCAATGATCAGAAACACTCGCACTGACCAACATCCAAACACCTGAACACTGATCCTGGCATTTTCATAGGCATTCGTTGACCTTTTTAATGTTATATTCAGAGTGATGAACAGAAAAACCTCTCCCCTGAGGGCTGACACATCCCTCTCCTTTGCCCCTTCTCCAATATCCTCCCTTTCCTGTGGGCAGGGCTGGGCTCTCCCATTGGAGCTGCTCACTGCTTCCTGGATTGGGGAGGTGCTCTCCCTCTGAAGCTGCCCGCTCTCGCCTCCCCCCACACCTCCCGCCTTCTCTCTGGGCTGGGAATGGGGTTACCCCACCATCTCCTACTCTCTGGTCTGGAGCGGCTCTTCCCCAATGCTGCACCTTCCTCTCTGTTCCCCGGCCTGGGAGTGGAGGCTACATTAGGGGAAGGAGCTTCCCTCTGAGGTTTAAAGCTGCCTCCCTTGCTCCCTCCTCCGAGACCTTCCTTGCTATGTCTGTGCCAGTGGGAATGGAGCAGCCCCAGCAGAGGGAGCCGGGAGTTGAAGTCTCTGCAAACAGACGAGAAACTAAAGAAGCAGGTCCCATTAAATACAGTGAGGAACAGCAGTGAGAGATCTGCTCAGTCCCAGGTGCCCAGGACAGAGGCAGCTCCCTGGGATCCAGGCCTGTCCCAGCCAGACCAGGGCTGCTGGGGAGTGTGAAACATGGCACCACCAGCCCCCAGGACTGAGCTCTGCCCCTCACGCTCTGATTCTCTCTCTCCAGCAAATGTGACTCTGGATCCAGACACAGCTCATCCCCGACTGATCGTGTCTGAGGATCAGAAAAGTGTGAGCTATAGTTACACCCGGCAGGATCTGCCCAACAATCCTGAGAGATTTGATACTAGAGTCTGTGTGCTGGGCTGCGAGGGATTCACCTCGGGGAGACATTACTGGGAGGTGGAGGTGAAGGATGAGGGAACCTGGGCTGTGGGGGTGGCCAGAGAGTCTGTGTGGAGGAAGGGAGGGAGAACCCGTAACCCTGAGGACAGGATCTGGGCTGTGGATTGGTATATGAATACGTTCTGCGCTGTCTCCTCCTCTGAGACGCCTCTGTCCCTGAGTCGTGATCTCAGGTTTATCCGGGTTTCTGTGGACTATGAACAGGGGCAAGTGATATTTGCCAATGCTGATAATGATGACCCAATCTTCACTTTCTCAACAATCTCTTTCGATGGGGAGAGAATCTATCCCTGGTTCCGGGTGGGGCAGAGATCCCAGTTCAGCCTGTGTCACTGAGACATGGTGGGAGCATATTGTACTGGGGATCCTGAAATCAGCCTCTCCAGCATCAGACACACCAGTCTCTAGTACTCTTGTATTCCTGCAGACTTTCTATCATGTCGTCTCCATGACCCCAGTAGTTCCATGGGGTCTGGACTGTCAAACCATAGAGAGCAGGGAGTGATTGAGATGGAGAAGCCAATCTCATTGCCCCAGGATTGTGCAGCCTTTTTGTCACTGTCCTCTATGGTCAAGAGGACTGTGGGGATCCTGGGTCAGACATGGGGGAAATAGCCCACTAGGAATGAAAAATTGGCTCCTCTAGATGCCGTCATCCTAATCTCTGCGACCCTGGAAGGCTTGCATCTATCTAGTCGTCTGCCTCATGTCATCTCCCATCTCGTAGCTCCTTATCTCTGCCCCCTGGAAGGGAATCTGCTCCCTCCCCACTTCGGCACCAGGGATGGGAAGGAGGAGGGGTTGAAGAGGAGCAGACTGGACTGAGGGGCAGATGTGGGGACTGCAGGGTCACAGAATTAATTAATTGGGATTTGGGGGTTGGAGAGAAGCTGGAAGCCCCGCACCAGCATGAAATGTTTTATACAAATCTGTGTCATTAGATCTATGGTTCCCCCAGCAACAGCTCCTGCAACAGGGGCTAAAGTCACTTTCCTCTATAGGAAATATAGGATGAGTTGGGAACACTGTAATTGTCACTGTGATGCTGGCAAACCAAATGCCAGCTCTTACCAAAACTTCAGGCATTAGCTAAGAACTGGCAAACTCATAGCTGGAGATCAGACCAGTTCACCTGTATGTTAGTTTTACTTAAAATAGGTATTAGTCTTGCAACAATGTGTTGAGTGTTTAGACTCCACGAAATACTTGTAAATTGCTGCATGCATTGATTTCACGTGTAATGCTGGAATTCCATGCTATAAGAAAATAGCCCGGGTCTACTCTAGGAGTTGAGATCGAATTTAGCAGCGTTAAATCGATTTAACCGTGCACCCATCCACACGACGAAGCCCTTTTTTTTGACTTAAAGGGCTCTTAAAATCAAGTTCCTTACTCCACCTCTGACAAGGGGATTAGCGCTGAAATCGGCCTTGTCGGGTCAAATTTGAGGTACTGTGGATGCAATTAGATGGTATTGGCCTCCGGGAGCTATCCCACAGTGCTCCATTGTGACCGCTCTGGACAGCACTCTCAACTCAGATGCACTGGCCAGGTAGACAGGAAAAGGCCCGCGAACTTTTGCATTTCAATTTCCTGTTTGGCCAGCGTGGCGAGCTACAGGTGAGTGCAGAGCTCATCAGCAGAGGTGACCATGATGGAGTCCCAGAATCGCAAAAGAGCTCCAGCATGGACCGAACGGGAGGTACGGGATGTGATCGCTGTATGGGGAGAGGAATCCATGCTATCAGAACTCCGTTCCAGTTTTCGAAATGCCAAAACCTTTGTCAAAATCTCCCAGGGCATGAAGGACAGAGGCCTTAACAGGGACCTGAAGCAGTGCCGCATAAAACTTAAGGAGCTGAGGCAAGCCTACCAGAAAACCAGAGAGGCAAATGGCCGCTCCAGGTCAGAGCCCCAAACATGCCGCTTCTATGATGAGCTGCATGCCATTTTAGGGGGTTCAGCCACCACTACCCCAGCCATGTTGTTTGACTCCTTCAATGGAGATAGAAGCGACACAGAAGCAGATTCTGGGGACGAGGAAGATGATGGAGGGGAGGGATAGGATACAGAAGGACCTAGACAAATTGGAGGATTGGGCCAAAAGAAATCTGATGAGGTTCAATAAGGATAAGTGCAGGGTCCTGCACTTAGGACGGAAGAACCCAATGCACAGCTACAGACTAGGGACCGAATGTCTAGGCAGCAGTTCTGCGGAAAAGGACCTAGGGGTGACAGTGGACGAGAAGCTGGATATGAGTCAGCAGTGTGCCCTTGTTGCCAAGAAGGCCAATGGCATTTTGGGATGTATAAGTAGGGGCATAGCGAGCAGATCGAGGGACGTGATCGTTCCCCTCTATTCGACATTGGTGAGGCCTCATCTGGAGTACTGTGTCCAGTTTTGGGCCCCACACTTCAAGAAGGATGTGGATAAATTGGAGAGAGTCCAGCGAAGGGCAACAAAAATGATTAGGGGTCTGGAACATATGAGTTATGAGGAGAGGCTGAGGGAGCTGGGATTGTTTAGCCTGCAGAAGAGAAGAATGAGGGGGGATTTGATAGCTGTTTTCAACTACCTGAAAGGGGGTTCCAAAGAGGATGGCTCTAGACTGTTCTCAATGGTATCAGATGACAGAACGAGGAGTAATGGTCTCAAGTTACAGTGGGGGAGGTTTAGATTGGATATTAGGAAAAACTTTTTCACTAAGAGGGTAGTGAAACACTGGAATGCGTTACCTAGGGAGGTGGTAGAATCTCCTTCCTTAGAGGTTTTTAAGGTCAGGCTTGACAAAGCCCTGGCTGGGATGATTTAACTGGGAATTGGTCCTGCTTTGAGCAGGGGGTTGGACTAGATGACCTTCTGGGGTCCCTTCCAACCCTTATATTCTATGATTCTATGATTCTATGATTCTATGATGATGATGACGTTGTAGATAGCTCACAACAAGCAAGCAGAGAAACCAGTTTTCCTGACAGCCAGGAACTGTTTCTCACCCTGGACCTGGAGCCAGTACACCCTGAACCCACCCAAGGACCCGCCAGGTGGAGAAGGGACCTCTGGTGAGTGTACCTTTTTAAATAGTATATGTGGTTTAAAAGCAAGCGTGTTTAATGATTGATTTGCCCTGGCATTTGCGGCTCTCCTGGATGTACTCCCAAAGCCTTTGCAAAAGGTTTCTGGGGAAGGCAGCCTTATTCCGTCCACCATGGTAGGACACTTTACCACACCAGGCCAGTAGCACGTACTCGGGAATCATTGCAGAACAAAGCATTGCAGTATATGTTTGCTGGCGTTCAAACAATATCCGCTCTTTATCTCTCTGTGTTTTCCTCAGGAGAGTGATATCATTCATGGTCACCTGGTTGAAATAGGGTGCTTTTCTTAAGGGGACATTCAGAGGTGCCCGTTCCTGCTGGGCTGTTTGCCTGTGGCTGAACAGAAATGTTACCCGCTGTTAGCCATGGGGAGGGGGGAGGGGGGAAGGGCTAGTCACGCGGTGGGGGGAGGCAAAATGGGACGTTGGAACGAAAGCACACGTGCTATGTATGTAATGTTAACTGCAAGGTTTACCGTGAAAGAGTGTACCCATTGTTCTATAAAATGTGTCTTTTTAAATACCACTGTCCCTTTTTTTTCCTCCACCAGCTGCATGTGTTTCAAGGATCACAGGATCTTCTCCTTCCCAGAGGCTAGCGAAGATTAGAAGGCGAAAAAAACCGCACTCGCGATGAAATGTTTTCTGAGCTCATGCTGTCCTCCCACACTGACAGAGCACAGATGAATGTGTGGAGGCAGACAATGTCAGAGTGCAGGAAAGCACAAAATGACCGGGAGGAGAGGTGGCAGGCTGAGGAGAGTAAGTGGCGGGCTGAAGACAGGGCTGAAGCTGAAAGGTGGCGGCAGTGTGATGAGAGGAGGCAGGATTCAATGCTGAGGCTGCTGGAGGATCAAACTTATATGCTCCAGCATATGGTTGAGCTGCAGGAAAGGCAGCTGGAGCACAGACCGCCGCTACAGCCCCTGTGTAACCAACCACCCTCCTCCCCAAGTTCCATAGCCTCCTCACCCAGACGCCCAAGAACGCGGTGGGGGGGCCTCCGGCCAACCAGCCACTCCACCGCAGAGGATTGCCCAAGCAACAGAAGGCTGGCATTCAATAAATTTTAAAGTTTTAAACTTTTAAAGTGCTGTGTGGCCTTGTCCTTCCCTTCTCCTCCAGCACCCCTCCCAGTGCTTCCCTCCTCCACCACCTCTCCCGGGCTACCTTGGCAGTTATCAGCCTATTTGTGTGATGAATGAATAAAGAATGCATGAATGTGAAGCAACAATGACTTTATTGCATCTGCAAGCGGTGATTGAAGGGAGGAGGGGAGGGTGGCTGGCTTACAGGGAAGTAGAGTGAACCAAGGGGGGTGGGGTTCATCAAGGAGAAACAAACAGAACTGTCACACCGAAGCCTGGCCAGTCATGAAACTGGTTTTCAAAGCTTCTCTGATGCGCACCGCGCCCTCCTGTGCTCTTCTAACCGCCCTGGTGTCTGGCTGCGCGTAACCAGCAGCCAGGCGATTTGCCTCAACCTCCCACCCCGCCATAAACGTCTCCCCCTTACTCTCACAGGTATTGTGGAGTGCACAGCAAGCAGTAATAACAGTGGGAATATTGGTTTCGCTGAGGTCTAACTGAGTCAGTAAACTGCGCCAGCGTGCCTTTAAACGTCCAAATGCACATTCTACCACCATTCTGCACTTGCTCAGCCTGTAGTTGAACAGCTCCTGACTACTGTCCAGGCTGCCTGTGTATGGCTTCATGAGCCGGGGCATTAAGGGGTAGGCTGGGTCCCCAAGGATAACTATAGGCATTTCAACATCCCCAACGGTTATTTTCTGGTCTGGGAATAAAGTCCCTTCCTGCAACTTTTGAAACAGACCAGAGTTCCTGAAGGTGCGAGCGTCATGTACCTTTCCCGGCCATCCCACGTTGATGTTGGTGAAACGTCCCCTGTGATCCACCAGAGCTTGCAGCACCCTTTGAAAAGTACCCCTTGCGGTTTATGTACTCACTGGCTTGGTACTCCAGTGCCAAGATAGGGATATGGGTTCCGTCTATGGCCCCACCACAGTTAGGGAATCCCATTGCAGCAAAGCCATCCACTATGACCTGCACATTTCCCAGAGTCACTACCCTTGATATCAGCAGATCTTTGATTGCGTTGGCTACTTGCATCACAGCAGCCCCCACAGTAGATTTGCCCACTCCAAATTGATTCCCGACTGACCAGTAGCTCTCTGGCGTTGCAAGCTTTCACAGGGCTATTGCCACTTGCTTCTCAACTCTGAGGACTGCTCTCATTTTGGTATTCTTGCACCTCAGGGCAGGGGAAAGCAAATCACAAAGTTCCATGAAAGTGCCCTTACGCATGCGAAAGTTTCGCAGCCACTGGGAATTGTCCCAGACCTGCAACACTATGCGGTCCCACCAGTGTGCGTGTTTCCCGAGCCCAGAATCGGCGTTCCACCGCATGAACCTGCCCCATTAGCACCATGATGCCCGCATTGCCAGGGCCCATGCTTTCAGAGAGGTCTGTGTCCATGTCCTCATCACTCTTGTCACTGCGCTGACGTCACCTACTCGTCCGGTTTTGCTTTGCCAGGTTCTGGTGCTGCATATACTGCTGGATAATGTGCGTGGTGTTTAATGTGCTCCTAATTGCCAAAGTGATCTGAGCGGACTCCCTGCTTGCCGTGGTATGGCGTCTGCACAGAAAAAAGGCGCGGAACGATTGTCTGTCATTGCTCTGACGGAGGGAGGGGTGACTGACGACATGGCTTACAGAGTTGGCTTACAGGGAATTAAAATCAATGAAGGGGGTGGCTTTACATCAAGGAGAAACAAAAACAACTGTCACACAGAATGGCCCCCTCAAGGATTGAGCTCAAAGCCCTGGGTTTAGCAGGCCAATGCTCAACCCACTGAGCTATCCCTCCACCTGGTATTTCAGGCAGGACTGAATCTCCATTAAACTTTTCAAGGTGTCCCTGACAGACCTCACCAAAACCATTGTCGGCCGTTGATTTCACAGAGCGAGGGTGGGGGGAGCAAATGAATACAAAACAAATCTGGTCTGTTTCTTGTTTTGATCCTCTCCATCTATCTTTTACATCTTTGGCTGGCGGCAGACAGTGCAGTAGGACTGCTAGCCATCCTCATCTCCTGCCTTCTCGCCAGAAGACGGTGCGATAGGACTGCCTGCAGGACTAAAGAGAATGACCTGGCTGAGTCACTCCTCTTTCAGTCCCTGTGCCCATGTCTGCCTGGGCGCTCCTGACCGACCTTACCGAGGCGGCCAGGAGCACCTCGGACACGATGACGATGGTTTTCAGGCCTATTGCACCGTCTGCTGCCACAAGGCAATGGGCTGCTGCTCTGTAGCAATGCAGTACCGCGTCTGCCAGCACCCAGGAGACATACGGTGACGGTGAGCTGAGCGGGCTCCACGCTTGCCGTGGTATGGCGTCTGCACAGGTAACTCAGGAAAAAAGGCGTGAAACCATTGGCTGCCCTTGCTTTCACGGAGGGAGGGAGGGCCTGACGACATGTACCCAGAACCACCCGTGACAATGTTTTTTGCCCCATCAGGCACTGGGATCTCAACCTAGAATTCCAATGGGCAGCGGAGACTGCGGGAACTGTGGGACAGCTACCCACAGTGCAACGCTCCGGAAGTCGACGCTTGCCTCGGTCCTGTGGAAGCGCTCCGCCGAGTGAATGCACTTAATGCACTTAGAGCATTTTCTGTGGGGACGCACACACTTGACTATATAAAACCGATTTCTAAAAAAACAACTTCTATAAATTCGACCTAATTTCGTAGTGTAGACATACCCATAGGTAGGTTTGGCTTTAAAATGTTTGCTCTGAACTTATGAACCCAAACATAGGAATCACACACACACACCACCCATCCAGAAGGACTATCAAAATCAGATGGGCCATCAAGGAATATCACAACACAAAGGGTAGGGTAATGGCCCTATTGTACCTTGAAAATGCTACCTGCCAGGCAGCTAATCCTTGGGGACTTGGAAGCTGAATGAAGGGAATAAAATAAGGTCACAGGAAATTTTTCCATCTC